TTAGGCCTTTACCTTATGTCACTAAATTAAAACTTCATTTACAAAACACCCATTTAAATGTCCACTAGTCTATCTAAGACCTTAATAGAATAACTCAGGAAGGTAGTGTGTAATTCTAGGTTTGAAAACCAACTTTGATAAAGAAAAAAAAAAGAAATTAAAATGAACTTGTAATGTAGGGATGTAGGTTAGTATTAGTAGGAGGAATAATGATTACCTCAAGTTAATGTCAATATTTGCAAATAGAATTGAAACAATATGCATTTAAAAAGTAAATGGGGGCTGGAGAGACAGCTCAGTGGTTAAGAGAACTTGATTCTCATCCAAAGAACTAAGTTCAGTTCCTAGCATCCATGCTGGATAGCTCACAATTGCCTCTAACTCCAGCTCTGGGGGCTCGGACACCCTCTTTTGGTCATCACAGGCACATACATACATATGTACACACACAGAGTTACACATCCAGAGAAAATAAACATAGATCTTTTTTAAAAAGATAAAATGAGAACCCTACCATTACAAAGCCAACCCAAAATAGATCAAAGGCCCAAATATAAGAGCTATAATTATGTGTAGCTTACATAGAAGTGAACCTTCGTGATATTAAATTCAACAATTGATTCTTAGATACGACATGAAAATCATAGAAAACCAATAAAAGTTTGTACTTCATCAAAGTAAACTTTTGTGAACCAAGGAGCAATGTCAAGAAGATAAAATGACAGTCTACAGAAAGAACATCTGCAGAGTTTATATTTGATATAAATCTAGTTTTTAGAGTATACAAACACAACAAAAGCAAACAGGGCTGGGCTAGGAGTATGGCTCAAAACAACAGAGCTTGCAAGCACGGGGGAAGACAAGGGTTAGATCCTCTTCAGGGTGAGGTAAGGGTGTGGTTAGGCAAAGGACTTGAATAGACATTTCTCCAAGGAAGATTTAGAAATGGCAGACATACACAGGAAAAAATGTTGAACACCATGAGTCATTGAAGAAATATAAATCAGGAGGAAAGTAAGACATGTACTCAGCTAGGCTTGATGGTTAATTCCATGCTGTTAACCTCAGTGTCAGGGGTAAAAATTAGGCAGAAGGATCCAGAGTTAAGAAGTAAACTAGGTTACACGTTAGTTAGGTCTGTAGTGAGACACTATCTTGAGAGCAACAGCAAAGGTTAATAATTCATCTTATTCGGCCAGGCAGTGGTGGGGCAATCTGTTAATCAGAGCACTCACTCATGAGTATGAGGAAGACAAATCTCTGAGTTTGAGGCTAGCCTGGTCTACAGAATGAGTTCTTGGACAGCCAGGGCTACACAGAGAAACCCTATCTTAAAAATCAAGCAAACAAAAACTAAACCAAAACAACAAAACCCCAAACAAACATACAAAAAGTAATCCATACCTCTTAAGATGTCTATATATTTAAAACAAACAACCAAACAACCAAGAAAGCAAGTGTTGACAAAGATATAAAGTTAGAAATAAAGTTAGAATCCTTGTTCAGTGCTGGGAAGTAAAATCATTACCACATGTAATTCACTACTGTCCAGTAGTGCTACTCCTAAGGATATACCAAGAGAATTGCAAATTAGTGTTTAGATACTTTTTTTTCTTTTAAGATTTATTTATTTTATGTATGTGAGTGCTCTATCTGCATGTACACCTGCATACAGAAGAGGGATTCATATCCCAGTATAGATGGTTATGAGCCACCACGTGGTTGTTGGGAATTGAACTCAGGATCTCTGAAAGAGTAACCAGTGCTCTTAACCACTGAGCCATCTCTTTAGCTGCATTCACATACTTTTATACATGGTCATGGTGCTAGACAGAAACAAACCACCAGTAGATAAGCAAAGCCTGGTGTGTGCATACAGTGGAGGGTTACTCAACAGTAAGGGAGAATTCGGTACTGAGGCTCAGTTGTAGTAGAAGGCAGTCCTAATGATACAGCAGGGATAAAACTAGGAAACAAGCCAGGTGGTTGTTATGGAGGCTCATGCCTTTAATCCTAGGACCCAGGAGACAGAGGCAGGCAGATCTCTGTGAATTCAAGGCCAGCCTTGTCTACAAAGAGAACTCCAGGACAGCCAAGACTACACAGAGAATCTCTGTCTCAAAAGAACCAACCAACCAACCAACAAGCAAAACCCAAAAACCTAGGAAACAAAATATCAAACAAGATTAATTCAAGTTATAGGAAGTAGGCAAACCCATAGAATCAGAAAGCAAGTGGTTATTGCCAGAGCCTAGACAGGGAAATGGCAGTCTATTTAATGGATTTTTGGTGGGTGAAGAAAATGTTTTTAAACGAGAGAGATGTATTTATTGTCCAACAGTGAGATACATTAAATGCCCTGGAGTGTATATTTACTTTTATGATATATAAATTTTATCCCAGGTATAAAAAAGATTTTTCATTTTATGTGTATGTATTTTACATGTTCATGTGCCACATGCATGCCTATTTCTGGAGGAGACCAGAGGAGGATCCCATGTACCTGGTGTTATGGATGGATGGTTGTGAATTGTCAAGCTTATGCCGGGAGTCAAATATGGTCTTCTGAAAGAGCAACACAGTGCTCTCAACTGTGTAGTCATCTCTCCAGTCCCTTAACCCAAATTTCAAAAAGAAAGTAAAGTTGAGGGGAAAAAAAACTCACAATAATAATTTTTAAAAATCACACATAGTCATGTGGTGTCCCTTCCCTTCTGGTAGCTTCAGAGAACACGGGGGAGGTTACAGGGGCCCAACTCTGACTTCATAAGGAAGGACTTCTTAACACAGCTGTTAAGCCACAGAATGGGCTGTCTCTGGAGGAAGTGAGATTATTCTTTACTGAAAAAGTGGAGGAAGCGCTCCCAGGGACATGACTGGGGAAATGTCTACATGAGGTGTGGGGGGCAGTTTTGTTTGTTTTAATTATTTTGGAAACCAACCTACTTTTCATCACTTCAGTTATGCTGACCCCTCGGTCGGACTAGCAGCCATTTACAAAGGAGGTCCTGAGTTAAAGCACCACCTCAGTTTCAATTCTTCTAGCATGACCCGGCCCAAACCGCTCAGACCCCTCCTGAAAAAGACTGCCCTGTCACAGGGAATATAGCTTAATGGCAGAATGCTTTTCTAGCATGTATGAGACCCTAAGTTCAATTCCCAGCACGGAATCAGTAAGAGAAACGCTGGCCCATAAAAGAGAACTAGTCAATGAGAGCAGCTGAGCTGATTGATGACCCTTTGGACTCTTTTAAGTTCAAAGCTCTAGTCACTAGCTTTCTGCTGTTCATTGGCAGAGGGTGTATGCGTTGCATTAAGTACTTTGGCATCTACTATATACAATATATTAAGGTTCACACCCCTCAGTGAATGTTATCCTCAAGAAGGTAATTTCTAAAACACTGGTTCCGAAAACTTGTTTTAATTCGCATACATATTCTGCTACTAAAAAATAGACATATAATATAGGATAAACCTACTAAAATCTGTACATCTAAAGAAACTAATCAAGAGAGAGGATCTTGACTAAAATCCTCAATCCCCATCCCAAAAGGCAAAGAGGAAGGACATCAGAAGAAGAAGAAAACAGGAAACAAGCTAGAAACCTGCCACAGAGGGCCTCTGAAAGGCTCTGCCCTGCAGACTATCAAAGCCAACTGTTGGGCAATGTGTATGGAATCTTATGTAAGAAGTGGAAAATAGTAAGATCTGGAGAGGACAGGAACTCCACAAGGAGAGCAACAGAACCAGGAATTTGAACACAGGGGTCTTCTCAGAGACTCATATTCCAACCAAGTACCATGCATGGAGATAACCTAGAACCCCTGCACAGATGTAGCCCATGGCAGTTTAGTGTCCAAGTGGGTTACATAGTAATGGGAAAAGGGACTGCCTCTGACACAATCTGATTGGCCTGCTCTTTGATCACCTCCCCCTGAGGGTGGAGCAGCCTTACCAGACCACAGAAGATGACAGTGCAACCACTCCTGATGAGATCTGATAGACTAAGATCAGAAGGAAGGAGAGGAGGACCTCCCCTATTAATGGACTTGGGGAGGGGCATTCGTGAAGAAGGGGGAGGGGAGGTGGGATTAGGAGGGGAGGAGGGAGGGGTTTATGGGGGGATACAAAGTGAATAAAGTGTAATTAATAACAATAAAAAAAGAAGTGACAAAGTAAACTCATCCAAGTGTTGCGCCAGCCAAATTTGAAAACAGCAGTAGGGGATATTTCTTAAAAATGCAATCAACTTGGATAATCTCTAGACTGGACGAAGAGCCACACGATTGTGCTTTTGCAGTAGAGCAACTTAACACCTGCTTCAGCTACCAGAGCCTTGAGGAAAAAAAAAAAAAAAAAAAAACAGTGAAAGTCAGGTGGACGGGGCTCCCAGGAGACAGACTGGCCCACTTCAGGAGAATCCCAGGCATCCTGTTCCTAGGTGGAACCCAAATCCCTCGGGCACTCAGAGGAAAGCCCAAGCTGACCGCCCCCAGCCCAGACAGCCCAGAAACCATAGGCGCCTCTGAAGATTGTGCAAGTCTTTTCCTCCCCTGCCAGCTCAGTGGCATATTTATAAAATTCCCATCTGCACAACATAAACAGGAAACGTGCAGCAAACAGCCTCGGTGGTGCAAATTCCAAGCTTCCAGCCCAGGGCGGAGAATCTCATCCTTTGCTGCCATTGCCAAGCAGGGAGTAGAAAAGAGCAAACTTTCTAAATGACCCTGTGCCCCTCCATGCCCTTCTCCCCCCACTGCAAAAGGGAAAGAGAAGGCGGAAGGAAAGACCCCAACCCAGGAAAATAGAGAATAGAGGACGACTTTGAAGTAGAGGCACAGTCTCGAAGAGTGCGATCCTTGGTGACCAGGCTGCAGCGCTTCCCCCACTTCCGAGTTGCCTGGGCGTGCCAGGAACCCTAAGGCCCAGCCCTCTCCGGTGGGGCGGGGGAGGCACTGCGCAGGTGCGGTGCGCGCCTTGGTTGATAAGCATGGCTGAAGCATCCTTGCTATGGCTACATCTGCCACTGGGAAAACGCTGAGCTTTCGGGGCCGGTTGGGCGGCTGTGGCGAAGGCAGCGACGGGAACCCGCTTCCCGGGCGCGGTGGCGGCCGGCCGTCTGACTACTTCATCGTTGTAGGCTATGACCCCAAGAAGCTAGGTAAGGACTTGGGGCGGGCGTCGCCCCGGGCTCCGCCTCCGCCCCCGGGCTCCGCCTCCGCCACCCGGGTTTCTCCGGTGTTCTGATAGCGGTCCAATGGGCTAAGCGGGGCGGGGCATCGCAGCTTGTAGGCGGGGAGGCGGGAGGGTTGGGTCCCAGGGTGGAGGAGCGGGTCCAAGGCTATCTGCCATCCCGGCGCGGCCGAGCCTGGCTGGCTGTGGGCGTGTGTGAGGGACCCGCAGGACGGCGGTCGCGGGGTGAGGCCGCGGCGTTGCAGCCGGGGGCTGGCGGGCTGGGCGGGTCATGAGAGCCTGCCTGCGTTACCCGGGACCGCGCCCTCGTGCCGCTGGGGTTGGGAGGGCGGGAGCACACTGTGTGGAGTTCCTAGCGATACACTTGTGCCCTGAATCCAGAGTAAGAGACACTGGGGCCAGTCCTCCCGGAAAGGAAGTGCAGAGAGTCCGGTGCTGCCTCCTTCCTGCCCTTGGGCGGATGGGGTGGAGGAGCTTGGACATCCTGGTCAAAGGAACGTACTTGGAAAGACCACAGGAGCCTTGCACATTTCTAGGAACATTGTTTCAGGACGTATGTGCCGGCATTCCAGAATGAAATGACTCTTCTTTAGTAAAGACAGCCAGTCAACCACTACAGGTGCTCTCTCTCACTTAGCTTTCACGTGTTTTGATTGTTTTCTTTATTCGTCAGAGAATTCTTCATAAGGAACAGATACATTGCTGTTTATACTTTGATAGACTTGCACAACCAGGAGTATACAGGGTTCACACAGGCGTATTTTCCTACCTGTATCTCTGCGTTGCTATGTATAGATAAGCGGGATGTAATAACAAGGTTACGTAGATCTGGGAAAGCTCTTTTATTTCAGGGTAGTTCCAGTTTTATACTTGCAAGGAATTTTAGCTACCAGCCCTGCAGCCCCTTGTCTCAGGAGGTGATTAGGTTGTGTTTTGCTGATTGTTACTTGTTGGTAGCACTAGAGTACCACTGTTCTACTCATCTCCTTTTATTATTTATTCATCCCTAATAATTTGTTTTAAGAGAAGGAATCCTTCACATTTTTTCTCACTACCACCTAATTGAAGTCACTTAAGAGAACCAGCTTGCAGGTTGGTGAGAATGGTCAACAGATAAAGGCTCTTGCTGAGCAAGCCTGAAGACCTCAGTTTGATAATCTGAATACATGAAAAGGTGGAAGGCAAGAAGTGATCACACAGCATTGTCTTCTGACCTTCTGGCCTTCCTATATGTCTTCTGACCTTCCTAGTTTGCATGCTTCACCCGAATCATGAACACACATACAATAAAAAAAAAAAAAAAAAAAAAAAGACGACATTGGTCTGTATTTAGAGAATCTTCTTTCTGCTCCAACATGTCATGTCATTTCACTTTTCAGTCTCTTACAGACATAGTCTTACCCAGACTGCCAGTGTGGAGAATCAGTTTTGTTTTTAATCTTGTTCAGTTTTTAGTTACATTGTTCTTCCCTTACAACAATTTTATTTAGTTTGGATATTTGAGACAAATTCTCTCTACAGAGCCCTGGCTATCCTGGGATTCCCTATGTAGACCAGGCTGGCCTTGAACCTATAGAGATCCACCTTCCTCTGCCTCCCAAATGCTGAGATTAAGGACCATGCCCAGCTTCCCCCACAACAATTTTGAAACAATAAAAAACTTGAAAAAAGTTCCAAGTATGGTACACAGTTAATTGCTGTTTTAATTTGAACATTTTGAGAGGAAGATGCTGAGCTTATGCCATGTCACTTGGACTGGTTTAGTGTCAGTTTTATGAAAACAAGAACTTTGTCCTATGTAATGACAATGCAGTTATCAAAATAGGAAATTCATGCTGACACAGTATTCTGTTTAATTTGGGTTTTGTTGACTATGTTATTACATAAATGTCGAAAGAAGTTGGTACGTTTAAGCATTGTATTGTTTCTTTATCTCTTTATTCTCTTTTAATATAGAAGAGTTCCCTCATCTTTTTTATGATCTTGTCACTTTTGATGACTACAGGCCAGTTATATTTTTCTTATTTATTTATTTATTTATATCCCCCACACAACCCCACTCCCTCCTCTCCTCCCAATCCCACCCTCCCACCCACTTTCCCTATAGCACCCCCCCAAACCTACCCTGGCACATCAAGTTATATCAGGATTAAGTACCTCCTCTTTCACTGAAGCAAGACAAGGCAGCTCTGCTAGGGAAATGGGATCCAGAGGGGGGTAACAGAGTCCTAGTCGGAGACAGCCACTGCTCTAGTTCTTAGGGGACCCACTTGAGGACAAGCAGCCCTTATGTGTAGCAGGAGCTAGGACTAGTCTAGGCATGTTCTTTTCTTGGTGGTTTTGTCTCTATGAGGCCCCATGGTCCCAGGTTAGCTGGCTATGTAGGTCTTGTGGTGTCCTATCCCTCCAGCTCTCTCAATCCTTCTAATTCTTTCACAAGACTCCCTGGCTTCTGCCTAATTGTTTGGCTGTGGATCTCTGCATCTGCTTTCATTATCTGCTAGATGAAGCCTCTCAGATGACAGTTATGCTAGTCTCCTGTCTACAAGCATAGCAGAGTATGGATGTGTCCACTTCAGTCTCAATAATGCTGCTAGGAGTCTCAGCCAGGTTTACCACACTCAGCCCCCTCATCTTCCCAGGTGCTTCCAGAATTCCAGGTCTTCATCTTGTCTCAAAGATGCTCCAATACCAATTTCCCTTCTCTCCTAGCCCTCTTACCCCATCCCTACTTTCCCCACACCTGATCCCCCTCCTGTTCCTCTTTTCACCCCCTCTCTCACCCACTTCCTCTCTCCCTCCACTTTGTATGTCTGTAATATCTATTTTATTTCTCCTTCTTAGTGGGATTCAAGTATCCTCTCTTGATCCCTCCGTGTTACTTCGTTTATTTGGGTCTGTGGGTTGTACCATGCTAATACTGTACTATATGGCTAAGATCCCAGGTTAGTTATTTTTGTAGATTGTCTCTCAGCTCTCTGTGCTTTCATGGATCGATACATACACTTGGGCAAGGGTATCAGAGCAGGAGCACCCACTATGTCTTATCATGTGGTACATACTTTCACTTTGATTACTTGTTATCAGTGTCTTCCAGGCTTTTCTACTATAGAGTTAATACCCAGCATCACCATGGATACCTTGACACTCTGTGTCTTGGTCCCCATCAGAATGTTAATGCACTTGCCATACACTTACATTAATATGGCTTCATGATTTATGTGCCTTCTGTAGTGGACTGTACTGTTACTGTTTGTTTTAGTCTGTTGGGGCTACTGTTACAAATGATTTATAAACACAGGGTTTACTTTTCACAGTCGTAAACTCTGGAAAGTTAAAATATGAGGTCTAGTTGGGGGCATGCTTATCTACAGTCCTGTTCTCACTTTGACCTCAGTGGCCTAAAGGGCCATATGATTTTATAGGATCTCTTTAATAAGGTTATGAACCTATTTATAAGGATTTCACCTCAAGACCTGAGTATCTCCCAAATATTTCATGCAGTTCTGTTACTTTGGGTCTTAGGACTTCAACATAGTAATTTTGGGAGGATGTAGATATTCAGACCTTTTGGTTGTTTAAATTGTTTTGTCATTTGACCAATGAGAGTTCATAATCTGGCTTCTGTGCCTTTTTTTCTTTTTCTTTTTTTTAAGAATTTTTATTATGTATACAATGTTCTGTCTGTCTGTATACCTGCAGGCCAGAAGAGGGTAGCAGATCTCATTGCAGATGGTTGTGAGGCACCATGTGGTTGCTGCAAATTGAACTCAGGACCTTTGGAATAGCAGCCAGTGCTCTTAACCTCTGAGCCATCTTTCTAGGCCCTTCTGTTTCTTTTTGACATGTCCCATTTCCATCATCCTTTGAGCATCATTACTTTTTTCTTTTTCCTTTTTTTATTCATATTTTTATTAGTTACAGTTTTTCACTTTGTTTCCCACCTGTAGCTCCCTCCTTTCTGAATCCCACCCTTCCTCCCTCCTCTCCACCCATGCCCCTCCCCAAGTCCACTGATAGGGAAGGTCTTTGTCCCCTTCCTTCTGATCCTAGTCTATCAGGTTTCATCAGGAGTTGCTGCATTGTCTTCCTCTATGGCCTGGTAAGGCTGCTCCCTCTCAGGGGAAGGTGATCAAACAGCAGGCCAATCAGTTCATGTCAGAGACAGTCCTTGTTCCCATTACTATGGAACCCACTTGGACACTGAACTGCAATGGGCTAAATCTGTGCAAGGGTAGTAGGTTATCTCCATGAATGGTCCTTGGTTGGAGTATCAGTCTCAGAAAAGACCCCTGTGCCCAAAATTTTTGGTTTTGTTACTCTCCTTGTGGAGCTCCTGTCCTCTCCAGGTCATACCCACTTCTTTCATAAGATTCCCTGTGCTCTGCCCAAAGTTTGGCTATAAGTCTTAGCATCTGCTCTGATACCCTGCAGGGTAGAATCTTTCAGATTCCCTCTGTGGTAGGCTCCTGTCCTGTTCCCTGGTTTCTTCCTCTTCTGATGTCCATCCTCTTTGCCTTTCTGAATGAGGATTGAGCATCTTACCTAGATTCTTCCTTCTTGATTAGTTTCTTTAGGTGTACAGGTTTTAGTATGTTTATCCTATATTATATGTCTAATATCAACTTATGAGTGAGTATATACCCTGGGTGTCTTTCTGATTCTGGGATACCTCATTCAGAATGATCTTTTCCAGTTCCCATCATTTGCCTGCAAATTTCATTATTTCCTTGTTTTTAATTGCTCAGTAATATTCCATTGTGTAAGTGTACCACAATTTCTGTATCCATTCCTCAACTGAGGGGCATCTGGGTTGTTTCCTGCTTCTGACTATTACAAATAAAGCTGCTACAAGCATGATTGAGCAAATGTCCTTGTTGTATACTTGAACATCTTTTGGATATATGCCTAGGAGTACCTGGATCTTGATGTAGCTCTGCTTTTTGATCTAAGGTATTTCTGGCATAC